AATAGTACTGTATCTTCGCTGTTTGTGAAAATGACTGGAAATACAGACAAATTAAGTAAAAACATTAAAATATCTTTGAAATTCTATACAGTATTATGTAGAAAATTCTTCTATTAACCCTATATACCACAATAGGAAATGCTTTTCTATTTCCTTTGGCATTAATTCTAATGGCTCAAAAGGAGCCTATAGAATACCATCCATAAATTTAATTTTCCCTTGATATTGTATTCATTTTTACAGTTTAAGGGAAAAAAATTAACCAAATATTAATATATACTTATGGATTATACCGATAATTAAAGCAATTATATAACCTATATTATAACAAACTTTCTTCATAAAATACTCAAATCTTTCCCCAATCATTAATCTTTTAAACAATTAAAACTGAAAAGGAAACTTACACTAAGTAGCTCCAACCAATCTTAAAAGTTCAACACGTTAACTTTTCTTTAAGAAAAGAACGAATTAAAAATAACAAATCTATTAGATTTATAAAGCAGAGATTACAAACTCTAATGCCTTCAGGGGCCGAACAGGTAATGCCAGTCCCAAACACGAGGAAGGGGTGGAGTGGCAGAAACTAGAGGTCACGTCTTCCATCTAGAGACAGGTACACTTTACTTTTTGAAACACCGAACCTGCCAAACAGCAAAGTTATGTGGGACAAATTTTGACCAACGGCTGCCTCCATGTAACCTGTGATTCTATTTCCACTTTCAAGAGTCAGTGTGTCCCCATGCTATCTATACACTGAGGCTTACACGACATTTTAAACACAGACACCTCCTTGTTAAGAGTAAAAGTCAGTTAGCTGAGGGGGTGGAAAGTGGGTAGAGAGTGAAGCATCTTTCCTCCCTCTCTGAGCCTGAGACATAAAATTCCAACAGTTAAAGCCAATATTCAGAGGAACAAGAAATCTGTCTGGGCTCCATGAAGGTATAACCCGTACACCTCAGGTAGATATATGTGCCCTATCTAGCAGGTAATGTGACCTGAGAAGTCTGAAATGAGGGTAAAAATCTTCAAAGAAAATAATGTAGATGTCAATAGGAAAAACTTTTCTGATTTTTGGAAAATTAAAAGCATTTATTTATCTTGACTGAAGTACTGGTTACAGGAGTGCATACATTTGTCAAAAATAATTTTATATACTTTAGTTCTACACATCTCAGTGTATATAAATTTTACCTTAATTTTAAAAAGCATTTATTTAATTAAGTCTAGAATACTACACATACAAAAGCAAAATGAAGAGAATGACAGATATGAAAATGAAAGAATTCTACCTTGTGGAACATAGATATCTTAACATTTTAATTCCCTTATGAATCTAAAATAGCATATTTTTAAATAAGCATTTTGAAAAAGCATGATCTATTAAAAAAGAATCTGTGTATTAATTCATCCAAGATATATACAAGTGCCTAGTTTGTGCAAGAAACTATGCTAGGTGTTAGAGACACGGTGGTGTCACAGACAGTGGCCCCTCCTCATCAAGTTCCCAGTGGGGAAAGGAGGCACTACAGTTGTTAATAACATCTGTGATAAACGCTGCAGAGGAACAGCACTGGGTACAGTGAGAGCAACTGCGGCCACTGGGCCGCAAACAGCATGGGTCAGGGAAACCTTATGAGAAATTTAAGCTAAGACCTAAGGGATAAATAGGAGCAAATCACATAAAGAGAGAAAACATTCTGGAAACATTTCCAGAGAGAAGACATGTGTGAAGATTCCAAGATGAGAGATAAGGATTTCAGCATGGCAGTCACACGATCATGTGTTTTAAAATAATAACTCTATGGGGCCGGCCCGGTGGCGCAAGCGGTTGGGTGCGCACGCTCCGCTGCGGCGGCCCGGGGTTCGCCGGTTCGGATCCCAAGTGCGCAGCGACGCACCGCTTGTCAAGCCATGCTGTGGTGGCATCCCATATAAAGTAGAGGAAGATGGGCATAGGTGTTAGCCCAGGGCCAGTCTTCCTCAGCAAAAAGAGGATTGGCACTGGATGTTAGCTCAGGGCTGATCCTCCTCACAAAAAAAATAATAAATAAAAAAATAAAATAAAATAATAACTCTAGAAGCAATATGGAAAAGAGACTACAGAGCAGTATAGTGAATGTTATAAGACTAGTTCTGAATACTCCAAGAGAGAAATGAAGGTGCTTTAGTCTTGGGTAGTAGATATGAAAACAGAAATTGCACATTGTAGAAATACATGACATTGACAGAGAGGGAAAAGAAATTGACAAGAATAATTCCCAGGTTTCTGGCATGAACAAATGGAATGACACCAATTATGAGCTCATTTGGAAATGCCAGGTTTGAAGTACCTCTCAGACAACGAAGGAAGCCATCAACGAGTCTCAATGTCAGAGAGTGAGACTGGAGACATAATTTGGGAATCACCTGCACAAAGGCACTAAATGAAGCTATGGGAGTGAATGAGGTGTCTAGGAGAAGAGAGTCTAGAACTAAGCCCCAAGAATGCCTCTATTTACAGGGCAGAGGAGAAGGAGTGGCTGAGAAGGAACAGTTAGAAAGGCAGGAGGCATACCAAGGGAGTGCTTTGTCACAGAAATTAAGGACTCAACGTGTTAGAAGAAGAAAAGAGTAGGCAACTGTGCCAAATGCTGCTGAAAAAAATCAAGGAGAATGAGGATTAGCAGTGATCCTAATAAGAGCAAGACTCAACAGAATAGCTGACGTAAAAGCTTAACTGCAACATATTCAAAGTGAATGAAAGATGAGAAAATAGAGACAGCAAGTGTCAACATTTTTTATGAGACATTTAGTTGTGAATGACAATGAGACTCTGGGAGGCAGTACAGGAGTCCAAAAGAAAATTTAGTGGAATTTTATTTTCGGCATGTGGGTGGCCTGAATGTGTCTAATGCTGATAAGTTAACACCTAGCAAAAAGGCAGAACCTGAAAATACTTTTTGAAAAGGTAGAAGGGGATGTAATCCTTAGCACAGGTGGAGAATGGCCTTTGACAGGAGAGGAGACACTGCCCTCTATTAAAACAGGAGGGAAAAAGAAAAACACAAAAGGGGAGAAAATACAGGTAAAGTTGTAGATTCAGTGGCAAGAAATGAACATCGTTTCCACCTGTGCTCTCTCTTTTCTCTGAGAAGTAGAAGATCATTTGTGAAGAGGGAGGGGACCAGCAGGAGAGCTAGAGGTCTGAAGAGAAATAACTGTTTCAAAGTGGTGGAATGAGCTGACGAGAGAAAGAAGGAGACTGCTGGGCAGTGTGGAGGGTCGACTGGAGGTCTGTGACGATGGACAAACAGTGGCCCTGACTGACCCTGTATGGGGCTTCCTCCAGCAGAGGCACAGGAAGGGTAAGCTGCTGGGCTTATCCAGGGTTGTGACACTACCAGACGGGTTTGATGAAAGGATGAAGGGACAAGAAATACTAGTACTAGTTAATTTTTACCGAGCACACAACACGACGGGCCAGGCTCTGTACGTGCTTTAGGTGAATGGCTCCTTCAAGGCTCACGGCTGCCCCCCCAGCTGGTACGGTATCATGCGGAAGCTGAGGAATGAACTAATTAATTGGTTTCTTGACTACGGTCACATAACAGCTGGCACTCAAGGTTTGAGATTTCCCTCGGGATCAAAAAAAAAAAGAAGGAACTGAAATAAAACAGAAATTTAAGAAATAACATGATATAAGAGTGAGTGTGTGTGTAATTTTAAAATATCTCTTTCATCAAAATAGCAATGGAACATGAAATTACAAGTGGTTTTCCATCTTAGTGCTAGAATTTAAAGACTCACCAAATCCAGAACTTAAGAACAGCAGTGAGCTAACTTAGTACTTCACATTTATATCCCTGACATTACGATACATGTTTTCATACGCTATCTCATTTATCTCAAAATGTCAACACAAGATGAATCTGTATCCCAAAGTGGAAAATGAGGCTCAGAGAGGCTAAATAATCTGTTATACCTTTAATCACACCCTGAAAAACGAGCCTCTCCCTGACCCCCTTGCCACTAAGCCCTACAAAACCAGGGGTAACAGGCCTGAGAGAACTCACTCAGCAGAACAAAAAACTTCACAGCTGTCTGCTCTTACTGGAAATTCTTTCCAAACATTGCTTTATTCTATCAAGTAAAAGAAACTAGGACAAGCTCTCACCACTACATTACAACTAAAAATCACAACTAAAGAAACTGAAAATAAAAATCTGAAAAGCAGAGTCAAATCTTAGAAGAAAATCATTATGTCCAACTCCCAAACATAAACACTGAAGTAACAAGTTATTAGACTTGATAATTTTACAGTGACACAATAATTAAGCTTGATGAATCTAGCTTCATTCTATAATCATGATAAAGTTTAAAAAAAAAACTGATAGTTTAATTTCCTTGAAAGTTATTAAACAGCTTAGCTCAAAGCCAATGTTTTCCAAACTGTCTTGCTGAACAAGATATTTTTCTTGACTGATAAAAACAAAAAACAGTAATCATAATAGGTGAAAAATGGAATATATATCTGAAGAATACATATACTGCAAGTATTTACTATTGGGAGAGACAGACAACAGCTATTAGAGTATAATTATTATAAAAATATTTATATTAATATGACATCCCCTGTCACTGAAGATATAAGGACATTAGGTTTTAAAAATTTGTAAGAGAATATTCAGTTTTCATCTCTCATTGTCATTGGACCACTCTTACTCAAGAAGAGACGTTAACAAGGCTTTTTTCCCCCACATTTTAAAGTACAAGTGCTAGATATTGAAAAAAAAATTAAATCTTTCCCTTTGTCTTCCATTCTAATCATTCAGTAACTATATGGACAACTAAGATTTTACTCATATAAGCTAAGGCTAGCCCTTGCAAAGGAAATATTATTTTTAAAAAAGCACCTTCCACACTGACATGTACCATCCAACTGAACGTGAGAGAAAGAAGACATTGTGTTTTGAAATGCCTAACTTCTCAAAGGAAAACAACAAAAAAGCTGTACTTACCATATACATTAGTATGTCTCTAATCATCACCATAGCTGTCTGATGATCATTCCAAGCTTGATTTAGCGTTTGAAGAAAGTTGTTATTCAATGAATTTAGTACATCTTCTCGCACCTATTAACAGAAAAGTTCATTATAGTTTGTTTATACAAACACACGCACGCGCGCTCATAGGTATACATGCACGTATCTGTTCAATAAAATAATGAAGTGGAATCTTCAATTTTAAATCAAAGAAATATGTTATAGGCCAGTATAAATATTTTATCCTATAATGTAAGCTATATGCAGATCACTAATAAACGGGTTTTACATAGTCCAGACCTGTCTCTTGACCTCTAGAATCACAAGCAACCTTTGAGGCATTTCTCAACCCTCCAATGACTTAATATCACAGGATAAAATCCTACACACTATAATGAACTACAAGAACCTATAAAACTGGCCCTATGCTATTGCTGCAACTAAATTTCCACTACAACTTCCCTCCCCTATCTTTGAAGAATGGTTGAGAACACGAACTGGGCTCGAATTCCAGCTCCTGGGCTAGCTGTGTGACCTTGGGTAATCACTTAATCTCTGTGCCTCAGTTTCCTCATATGTGAAATAGTACCTATTTTGTAGGACTGTTGTAAGGATTGAATTAACACTAGTAACACACTTAGAACAGTGGCTGGCACTCAGTAAACACTCAATGAGCATAAACTGTAACTTAGTAAGCCTCCAGCTCAATGGAGCTGCATACAGCAAATGTGCTCTGCCATTTCTTCTGCCTTGATCCACACAGCTCACTCCTTCACTTTTTTCTGCTCAAGTTTCACCTCCACAAAGAGGTCTTCCCTGACCACCCTATTTCAAACAACAATCTGTATCTCTACTCCTTTACCCTACACTTTATTTTTCCTCACGATACTCATCACTTTCTAACTACTACATTACGTATCTATCTGTTTTATTGTTTCACCCACTAAAATGTAAGCTCCACGGCAGTAGAAATTCCATCTCTTCTATGTGTACCTCCCACACCTAGAACAGTACCTGGCATATATAGTACCATTTATTTCACCTCGACCCTCCAATACCATAATCCAGCTCCAACATGGTAAATTCTTTCAGGATAACTGCCTTTGCACATAAAGTTGCGTTAAATCTGAAATGCCATCCTAATGCAATCCTGATAAGACTACTCAGACTTCAAGAATTCCTTTCCATAGTCCACAAGCATATCGCCATCTTCTCTCACAAGAGGTTACTGACTACTACTTCTTCCTGCTATACTATCACTCCAATGGAAAGATTATTTGACTAGGAAACAGAATCTAGACTCTGGTTCTCACTTTCTCATGAAGTATATGTGTGTTATCCTCCAAGTTCCCACAACACTTCGAGATTATACTGCCAATCTCTTCAGTTACTCAAATCCAACCAATCCTCCACGGTCTAGCTCAACTTGCAATAACTCCAGCCTAAACAGACACCTTCTATCTCTAAACATCCTTTACTATAGATAATTTGCAGTAGTGGTTAAACTTTTTCAGGTTAGGGAGCATGGGAAGTCATGGTGTTTTCTGAAGAACAAATTATTTAATATGTGGGTTGAGTTACATAGATATCTATAAACCTAAATTATAAACATATGTAAATAAAATGTCATTGCATATTAGAATTAGTACAAACAAGTGGTTGGAAGTGCCAAAGACTGAAAGAAAATACACATAACACACTATTCCCACAATATGGGAGAAAAAGTTTATATTGAGAAAACTGTATCTAACTTATGTTTTCTTACATATTAGAGGAAAAGAAGTCATTAGCAGATTTTAGTGAGGAGACAATACATCCATTCTCCTAAACATATAGTATGAAACTGCTAGCCTGTATCACATAATTTAGAATTTTATTATATATTTAATCTTTTGTCTACAAGACTAAGCTACTTGACTTCAAAATATATCACCCAGAAATTACTCCATAAATTTGCTAACTACATCAAAAGTGATAAACATCCACATCTGTTAGTTGACAATACTGTGTTAAACAAATACTTTTATGCAAAGTGCATAACATATCATTTACTGCAACTCATTAAGTCTACCACTCGTCAGATGCAAATACTCCCAAGGTAGCTAACACTAAAAATAAACACAGTAAGTTGAAAATGTGCCCATTTACGAACTTCCTCACCAAGCTTCATATTCTTTCACTGAATCACTAAATTTTGAGTAGCGATTAAATTAAAATCATGACAATACTAGAGAAACTATAATACATAACAAAAGTAAAATTATATATTCCAAACATCAGAATATTTAGCAATTAATTATTCTTAAGGACTTAAGTGAACCTCTGTATACCCCTTTGTTATAAAATCAAGTTATGTGTTAACTCTATTAAAGTCACCCTGATTTTGGAACACAAAAATGTGGTTGGTATATCTGTCGGATGTATGAAAAACTGACCAATTAAGTAAAAAAAAAGTTATAAAATATTTTCTAAAATCACTGATTTATACACTTTAAAATAAAATATATCAAGTATTTATGTAATATTTATACTTATATCTGCCTTCCAACACAATGAAAATGCAATCAATTAGCACAATGTGTCATAAATGATAAAATTGCTTTATTTGCATCAGACTTCAAAAAAATTATCCTGACAAATCAATAACAGGGAATTTCACTTAGCAGAAAATTGCTGCTATTAAGAGTTAATTTTGTTATACTTATTTTCAAATGATTACATATACAAACACAGACATACGACTAAAAGACATAAAATAAATGCCTTAGATACACTTGCTGCAACCTCCTCTTAATTATTCATATCACTTGATGAGCAAAAAATTCTTCCTCTAATACTGCCCCAGAAAAATATCTTTCTACTCTGATTTACAAAAAGTGAATGGATATTTGTTCAAATATACACAATAAAATGGTAGGAATGAGATGAAAATTCAATCTTTATGAAGATTAAAACAGGCTTTTAGAAAAACGTTAAGTTGGCATATAAACCAAAATACACATTAAGTGAGGTAAAAAAGAGTTAACTCTTATTTTACAAATTATTAACATAATACAGAAAATTTGAAAAAGATAGAAAGTGGGGACAGTGCGAGTGTGGGTAACATTGATAATCTCACACCCTAATACAACCATTAGTTTTTGCACGAGCAAGAGTAAATGGGAAGGAATCCTGCTTTAAGGCTGGTACCAGAACCAAAGGGGCCTGCAGATCAAGTGCAACCAGCATCACTACTTAAGAAAACCTACATGATGGTTATCCAGATGAAGAGTTGTATTTGAAGGGTGAGAAAAGGAAAAATAAGTAACAAAGCCATGGAAGTTGAGAGTAGAATGGGACCAGCTGTAACAAAAATGCTAAAATGAGTAGCTGAAAACTGACGGCTATACAGGGCACTTAGCCTTGCAAAGGATAAAATAAGAGAGACAGTAGTTTAGAACAGGAGATCACAAACCTGGCCGAGAATCAGAATCATTTGAAGAGCAATGGATTTCGATCAAGAGAATGAGAAGACAAGACATAGACTGGGAGGAAACATTTGCAAAAGACATATCTGATAAAGGACTGTTAGCCAAAATATACAAAGAATTCATAAAACTCAACAATAAGAAAACAAACAAACCAATTAGAAAAATTGGCAAAAGACCTGGACACCTCATCAAAAAGATATCCAGATGGCAAATAAGCATATGAAAAGATGTTGAACATCTGATCATCAAGGAACTGCAAATTAAAACAACACGATACCACACATATCTACTAGGATGGCCAAAATCCAAAACACTGACAACATCAAATGCCGGTGAGCATGCAGAGCTACAGGCACTCTCATTCACTGCTGATCAGAATGCCCAAAATGATAAGGCCACTTTGGAAGACAGTTTGGCAGTTTCTTACAAAACCAGACATACTCTTACCATATGATCCAGCAATTACGCTCTTTGGTGTAATACCAAAGGGCTTGACAACTTACATCCACACAAAACCCCACACACAAATGTTTATAGCAGCTTTATTCATAATTGCCAAAACTTGGAAGCAACCAAAATGTCCTTCAGTAGGTGAATAGACAACTGTGGTACATCCAGACAATGGAACATTACTTAGCACTAAAAGGAAATGAGCTATCAAGCCATGAAAAGACACAGAGGAACCCTTAAGCGCATATCACCAAGTGAAAGAAGACAAATATGAAAAGGCTACATATCACAGGTTTCCAACTATATGACATTCCGGAAAAGGGAAAACTAAGGGGACTGTAAAAAGATCAATGGTTGCCAGAGGTTAGGGTAGAGGAAGAGATGAATAGGCAGAGAGCACAGAGGATTTTTAGGGCATGAAACTATTCTGCATGGTAATATAATGGTGGATACATGTCATTACACATTTGTCAAAACCCATAAAATGTACACCATCAAGAGCGACCCCTAATGTAAACTATGGGCTTTGGGTGATAATGATACATCAGTGTAGGTTCACCATTGTAATGAATGTACCACTTGGGTGTGGAATGCACAGTGGGGCAGGTAGAGGCAGGGGGTATATGGGAAACCTCTGTACCTTCTGCTCAATTTTGCTGTGAATCTAAAACGGTTCTAAAAAATAAAGTCCATTAAAAAAAAAAAAAAAAAAGATTTTGGAGCCCAAGCATTCTGGAGACACTGTTAAAACAATAAAAAGACAAGCTACAGACTGGCAGACAATATCAAATGACTTTTATGCAGAACACATAAAAAAAAAACTTACAACTCAGTAAAGAAAGCAAACAGCTCAATTTAAAAATGGGCAAAAGACTTGAACAGACACTTCACCACAGAGAATATACAAAGGCAATTGCGAACATGAAAAGATGTTCAACAGCATTAGCCATTAAGGAAATGCCAATTAAAACCATAATGAGATACCACTACATACCCATTAGAATGGCTAAAATAAAATATACTGACAATACCAAATGCTGATTAGGATTCAGAGCAATTAGAACTCTCATATATCGCTGGTGGGAACGTAAAATGGCACAGCCCCACAGCAAAACAGCTTGGCAGTATCTTATGAAGTTAAATAAACACTTACCATATGACCCAGCAATC